CTTGTAAACTTCCTTTACTCTAAATTTCACTAAATGTAAAATGCAGTTGTAACTTAAGTTCTATACAATGCTCTGCTGGTCACGTGGCTAATATATAGGTACCAACAACTCTGGACTATAAAAGTGGACTGTGAGGCCTAAAGGGTGGGCAGAACCATTTTAGAAAGATCTTGAATCCGGTTCTGCACCCTGGATTCAACATTCAGAAATAAACTTCTCTCTATAAGTTCCCTACCCCTTTGGTTTTTGGGTATCATGGGAGAGTAGCCTAGGGTTACTCGGATCATAACAGGTGGTAAATGGTTTAGGACATACAGTTGTGTTTTAGTGATGAGAAAAACATTCAAAAATCTGCTTTGGCATCTTGTTTGCCAGTAAAGTCATTAAAGAATAGGAGAAGACAAGGTGTCAACTTTTACTGGTCACTTTGAACTATTATCTATTCAGAGGTTTAATTTAGAATCCGAAAGGTGTTTAAAAAGCATTACCAAAGTTTTGTTGCTACCATAATGCAGCAAGATGGCAGAAGACAAACAGAAATTGGACAGACCCCTGTTGATTGATTAGTTTTCTGTAAAAAATAAAAATAAACAAAAAGTTTTATTATTGTAATACTCATCTTCACATACTTTCTCATGTGATTCTGATAATAATCCAAAAATAGACAAAAAAGGTAAAAAAATTAGTAATTAATAGCTGCTAAACTCTTTAAATTTGCTGTCACAATCTTCAAGTTATTCCCATTTTAGAGGAAAAATATGGAGACCCAGAGGCTAAATAACTTGCCGGAAGACATAGAGCCAAGAACTGGTTTAGATGGGAGGATACAGCATAGTGTTAAGAACATGGTAGGCCGGGCTCGGTGGCTCAACCTGTAATCCCAGCACTTTGGGAGGCGGAGGCGAGTGGATTGCCTGAGCCCGTGGGTTCGAGACCCGCCCGGGTAATTCGGTGAAACCTCGTCTCTACAATAAAATCAAAAATTAGCTGGGCTTGGTAGCGCGGGCCTGTAGTTCCAGCTACTTGGAAGGCTGAGGCGGAAGGATCGAGGCCGCAGTGGCCGGGAGACTCCAACTCAAAAAACAAACAAAAAAGGACATGGTAAGTATTCCAAAAATTGAATAAATGAATTCCTATTAGGAAAGTGTCTGATAAAAGCAAAGCCTTGGTTTAGTGGTTCGTTTGAACTTTCTCTTCCTGTTTTCTTGGAGAAGATTACCACCTGAGACAAGCAGTGGATCGTACTGCTAAAAGCATGAACTATGTTTGGCTACTTGTTTCTTTCACCCTATTTTGTGCTGTGTGACCTTGGGTAAATTATTTTTCGGCTGTTTTCTCTGAGAAACAGATGATAACAGTACCTACTTTATGGGGCTATTCTAACAAGTTAACACATTGAGAATGTAACATGCCAAATTGTACACGACATGTTAGCCAACAGTGCACTCATTCCACAGATGAGCAAACACGCAGAGTACTTACATTTATCTATGGTCACACTGCAAGTGGTGGAGCTGGGGCCAGTAGCCAGCTTAATTTCAATTCCAATCCTAATTCAATTTGGGCTGTGAGTTACATTGCGCAATGTTCCTACATCTGCAGTTTGGCAAGTAGCAAGTGGAGACCCATCTTCACTGATCAATCTGTTTCTTGCCCCAGTATCCATATTGCTAAGCCTCCAGCAGCCTCGCTTCTCCTCCGAGGGATTCACTGTGCAACCGGCCTCACCTTTATCCAAATGGTCTTGGCGCCTGGAGAGCAGCCTCCGGACCGCATCTCTTCCTCCATCTTAGTTTGGAACAGAGGAAGGAGGCGGAGCGATAACTGTGAGACTTGCCCACCCGTTCCTCAAGTTTCCAATTTGGTCCGAGTGATTTAAATGGCAAGGCTTCTGGTCTCCTAGTGCCTTTTTTGAATGTAATCTTAGGTGTTTTGTACTTTTAACGCTGTGTGTGGTTTCGGAGGGAAGAGGCTAGGTAAAGGGAGTGCTGAGCTAAGCGTCACCGTATGGTGCTGCCAGACATTCAGAACACCAAGGCAGCCATCCAGCGCCTAGCTTGGCGTGGCGGCGTAACCACCTGCGGTCTGAGTGCCCTGGGGGATCCTCCAGAACTCCTGGTCTCAGGCAGTCCTCTCGCCTCGGCCTCCCTAAGTGCTAGGATTACACTCCTTAGCATTTGTTTCTGCATCTGTGTGTGGCATTGTGCTGTAACAAAACTTTCTTAGGCGTGACTTGTTCATCCCCCTTCCTGCCCTCCTAGAGGTGAGAGGCAAAGTGCACCAGCTCTTCCCCGGATAGTAGTGAGTGGCTCTGAAAAGAGCCTTTGGGGGTGTGGGAAGCTGCGGGTGACCTCACTTAGAGCTGGTATACTTGGTGACAGCTTTGGTGCCTTCGGACACAGCGTGCTTGGCCAGCTCCCCGGGCAGCAGCAGGCGCACGGCCGTCTGGATCTCCCTGGAGGTGATGGTCGAGCGCTTGTTGTAATGCGCCAGGCGCGACGCCTCGCCGGCGATGCGCTCGAAGATGTCGTTGACGAACGAGTTCATGATGCCCATGGCCTTGGAGGAGATGCCGGTGTCGGGGTGCACCTGCTTCAGTACCTTGTACACATAGACGGAGTAGCTCTCCTTGCGGCTGCGCTTGCGCTTCTTGCCGTCCTTCTTCTGTGCCTTAGTCACCGCCTTCTTGGAGCCCTTCTTGGGGGCTGGAGCGGACTTTGCAGGATCAGGCATAATGAAAGGAAAACAGAAAAAACGAGACACAGATGGCAAGTATCTCTTCTTTATTTATAGTGGTTTATGTAAATTAGGTTTCATGGAGGTCTCGGGTGATTGGTGGCTTTCTGTGAATGACGTCAGGTACGACTCTTACCCAATCAAAATACTAAATCCTGAATACTCACGGTCCATTGGTCAAAATGAAAATAAAGTATTAACCAACCATAAATCTGCCTTTTCGCGCCCGGTAGAAGCTATAAAATGTGCGCTCTTCCACTTTCTCTCCAGTCCTTGTCGGCCGTGACGGTGTGCTCTTTACGATGTCTGGACGCGGCAAGCAGGGAGGCAAAGCTCGCGCCAAAGCCAAGACCCGCTCTTCCCGGGCCGGCCTCCAGTTCCCCGTGGGCCGTGTGCACCGCCTGCTCCGCAAGGGCAACTATGCCGAGCGCGTCGGGGCCGGCGCGCCGGTGTACCTGGCGGCGGTGCTGGAGTACCTGACGGCCGAGATCCTGGAGCTGGCGGGCAACGCGGCCCGCGACAACAAGAAGACGCGCATCATCCCGCGCCACCTGCAGCTGGCCATCCGCAACGACGAGGAGCTCAACAAGCTGCTGGGCAAAGTCACCATCGCGCAGGGCGGCGTCCTGCCCAACATCCAGGCGGTGCTCTTACCCAAAAAGACCGAGAGTCACCACAAGGCCAAGGGGAAGTAAATAGAATAGCCTGGCTTACTTTGCAGCAACCCGAACGTCTCAACCGAACCAAAGGCTCTTTTCAGAGCCACCTACAGACTTTCTTGGGAGAACTGAGCACTAAGTTTCATATCTAGTTTTGCCCTACACTGTTTCTAAACAGCTGTTTGTCAGCTGGTCTTCGCTAATGTGTATGAGGTAAGTCAGTGTTATAAACGCATTGCATAGAGTACTATTTAGTTCTCAGGTTTAAAGAGCATTTAACCCACCTTGCCCACTCATTTTGGACCTCTCGAGCAAACTTTCGGTAACTTCGCTTTAGGGCCAAGTGTTGGGAGTGTTTAGAGCGTTTGTTTTGCGCGCTTTAGCAAAGGATCTTGAACGCACGGTTAACACAAATCTCAAGCCAACGGCCATTTTTTTGATCCGTGATAACAGACCTAGTCCCGCATCAGGACAAGTAAATAACAGTTTCATATTGGTAATGAGTTAATTTTTAAATCAGATTAATCGGGACAGCTGAGGTGCCAGGTAATTCTTATTGGAATATTTTCAATACATTCATTGATACTCCTTGTTAAAAGCACGTTTCCAGCTTTCTTACCCTCATCCTCACAGGTTAAGTTGAGATAACCATTAGTCGTTTCAGCATGCTAAATTCTACTTTAAAAATGCTTTGACTTTTTAAACCTGATTTAAGTAAGCCGGATATTGATGCATTAATATAATAGATTCTTTAAGAGCAAAGAAATTACGTTTCTAGGAAATTAGAAAAATAAGTTGTGCTGCAATGGATTTTTATATTATCTGAGAAAAGATAATTTTCTGTAATAATGTTTATGAAATTATTAGGCCTTGAATTCCTCACATGCAAATCAAATTTTCTTGCTGAAAATAGTAAAGTTTTAAAAAAGTAATGGTCAAAAAGTAGGAAATTAAGGGACAGTATTGTAGCTGCTAGCTGATTGTGGCTAATGAACACTGGAAAATTTGGTAATCTTAATTATATATGTGTACATGTAAAATACACATTGGATTTGAAAGAATGCCAAAAAACGTAAAACAATTTTTATGATTACGTATTGAAATAGTATGTAGAACACATTAGCTTAAAGCAAATATTAAAATTAATTTCTCTAGCCGGGCGTGGTGGCACGGACCTGTAGTTCCAGCTACTTAGCTGAAGTGGAAGGATCGCCTGAGCCCAGCAGGTCGAGGCTGCGGTGACCGTGAGTGCCACTACCCTCCAGTCTGGGCGACAGAGTGAGACTCCGACTCAAAAAAAAGAAATTAAAATAATAAAATAAAATTAATTCCTCCATCTTATTTTATTCAAATGTGCCTCCTAAAAAGTTTAAGTGACTTGTGTCCACTGGAAATCGCAAGGAAAATTAAAACTTGGAGACCATGGACAACTAATATCAGAGGATTTAGAGAACAATAAAAAAAAAAAATTTTTGGAATCCTTGGCCAATCCGGTTACTGGTAAGTAGGAGGTCTTTGGCCTTGCTTTTGTCCAATCAGCTTCAGACTCTCACTATAAAAGCGCAGCTAGCCTTCTCTTTATCCTTATACGAATTTTGCTATTGAGCTATGGCTCGCACAAAGCAGACAGCTCGCAAGTCCACCGGCGGGAAGGCGCCGCGCAAGCAGCTGGCCACCAAGGCGGCCCGCAAGAGCGCCCCGGCCACCGGCGGCGTGAAGAAGCCCCACCGCTACCGGCCCGGCACCGTGGCCCTGCGCGAGATCCGCCGCTACCAGAAGTCCACCGAGCTGCTGATCCGCAAACTGCCGTTCCAGCGCCTGGTGCGCGAGATCGCGCAGGACTTCAAGACCGACCTGCGCTTCCAGAGCTCGGCCGTGATGGCGCTGCAGGAGGCCTGCGAGGCCTACCTGGTGGGGCTCTTCGAGGACACCAACCTGTGCGCCATCCACGCTAAGCGAGTGACCATCATGCCCAAGGACATCCAACTCGCACGCCGTATCCGCGGCGAGAGAGCTTGAGTGTCATGAACTCCGCATTTACATAGTATCCCCAAAGGCTCTTTTCAGAGCCACCTACATGGGCGCTGAAAAGATCTGTTTCTCTGTGTAGTCCTTGGTAGTACTTATTTGCCTATGATTGACAGGACCCGTTTTTAGTCACTATATAAGACTTTGCCTACTCCTGTTAAAGTGTTTTGGGAGTGTTAATATTCTCAGTATAATGGATCCTCCAGTAAGGATTGTACGTTGCCAATGAGTTCGTTCCTCGAATGTGCTGCCCGCCCAAGCTTTTTTTACCTGGTCGTGTTCCCACTGGTATTTTGCAGGTTAACTATTGTATATTTTTTTCTAACTAGTACAGAAAGAAAACACTTTTTGAATCGGGGTCTCTGTCGCTGAGGCTGGAGTGTTGTAGCAAGGCTTACCGCAGCCTCGATTCCCTGTGACAATCCTTCCACTTCAGCCTCCCGAGTAGCTGGAACACAGGCGTGTGCCACCACGCCTGACTTTTTTTTTTTTTTGGTGGAGACTAGGGCTCACTAACAATTTTCTTCTGCCTCGGTCTCCCAAGATGCTGGGATTACGGGTTTCAGTCACTGAGCTCAGCCACACTAAGGATGTATTGAGATTAGAATAATTAAGGTGGGTAATGCAGCTCGCGTTGACCAGAGTGAAACATTTCTTTTTATCTTTCCTGAGTTTTGTTTTGTTTTTGTCTGAATCTAGAATATTTAAGCTGAAGTATGGGCATGTTTAAATCTCCTTTGGAAGAAAAGCCGGGCAGAGAAGATTCCCTTTGAAGTCCAAGCCCATTGTAAAAATCTGTGTGTATGAGAGAGAAAGAGTGTTTTTTCTGTTGACTTCTGGCAGTGGTTAATACATATTGAACTGTCTCCAACAAGTATCCAAAATAAAGACTGCCTTTTAGGGAAACCTGTGGCAGTTCTCTTGAAGACAGGATAAAGTACTTCTCTTGGGTCTCTGTGCTTAAATGTTAACCTCTCATCATCACACTACTACATAAATTCAAACTCTATAATCTCCAGTTGTTTTTTCACTCTAGAATTTATTGCCACCACGTTGTGCCATATATTTTGCTTATTTACTATAGTGTCTCTTCTAAAATGCAGTTTAATGAAAGGATCAATTTTTGTTTAGTCCTGTATCCCCAGTAATGTAGTAACTTACCATCAATTTTGATGAATGAATGGGTGAATAATAGTAAAGAAACACAACTATGTGGAAAATCTCTAATGAAAGTAAGTCACATTAACCTGCTAGGTGTGCTAAAGTCAGCTTCTTGTGCACCATGACAGGCATTCCTCCATTCATTCTTACCTTCTGAACATCAACTTTTCCCATGTGTATGATTTCCACACAAATCAGCTTGCATTTGTGTGATCTCTACCCTTCCTCAACTTGTCAGTCTGTGAAACATGTAAGTGAAAAGATCATAGTGTTTTTACATTGAGTTTTTAAAAGCTTCTTGAATTTTCTATCTTGTTTAAATTGGCTATATACAGACTGGGCGCTGTGGCTTATACCTATACTCCAAGCACTTTGGGAGGCTGAGGGGAGAGGATTGCCTGAGCCCACAGGTTTGAGAACAGCCTGGGCAATTTGGCAAGACCTCATTTCTACAATAAATAAAAAAATTAGCCGGGCATGGTGGTGCATGCCTGTAGTTCCAGCTACTTGGAAGGCTGAGGCGGAAGGATCACCTCAGCCCTGCGGATCAAGGCTGAAGTAGCAGTGAGTGTGCCACTGTACTCCAGTCTGAGTAACAGAGTGAGACTCCAACTCAAAAACAAAATTGGCTATATACTTGTATGTATGCTACTTGGTTATTGGAATTGATTACATTCTTAATATGCTTTTTTTTGAATTGGCATTTCTGTTGCCCAGGCTGGAGTGCAGCACAATCACTGCTTACTGCAGCCTCAAACTCCTGGGCTCAGAGGCAATCTTTTTACCTCAGCTGGGACTACAGGCGTGCTGTCATGCCCAGTCAATTTTTTGATTTTTTGTAGAGACGAGGTCTCTCTGTGTTGCCTAGGCTGGTTTCGAACTCCTGGGCTCAAGCAATTCTCTTGCCTTGACCTCCCAAAGTGCTGAAATTACAGGCATGAGCCACTGTGCACAGGCCTTAATATAGTTTTTGTGAAATTAGATAACAAAATTGCACAGCAAACCGTTGTAATCTGCTCATGCTCATTACATTTCTGAGTGGGTTCATGGAAAGTAGGTCTCATGGTTTTCACGAGTGGAATTTAGAATGATTAATCATTTATTAATTTAATTTAGGATGATTAACAGTTACAAATTAAAATAATGTTCTAATACTTTCTTTTAAAGCCCTTTCATTCTAGGAGTAATGCTTTTTATTGGAATCAACACTTTAAACAAAACAAATGCTGTCCCCCTCTCAGGAATTAACTTTCCTCTGAAAAGGAAAATATACAGTCCTATTTTGCCGGGAAGTAACGCCCCCAGGACATCTTAATGAAAGGATCAATTCATTAAATGATACACCCTGATGATACACCCTAAGTCCAAGCGCTAAACAAATTGGTATTCTTTAGTTAGTAAGTAATGCATTTCTTCTTTCTGGGTTGGAAAACCAAGAGCTATTAATAAATCAGGAAGGGCCCACAAAGAGATTGCCTAGTCTGCACTGACCAGTACTCTTGCTGGTTGGGTAGGGGATCCTCTCCTAGAGATATGCAGCCAATATAGTCTTTCCAGTTAATTTTTCAGGTCTGATTACATGAATTATTTATTTAGAAGCATGAATAATTCTAGTCATGTGGAAATGGATACTCTCTCTCAAAACGCGCCATACAATAGTTCGGTAGCCCTCTGCTATTTTGGAGCTTTGTACATACTTTCATTTTCCCATACAGAAATTAAATTTTGTTATAGCAATGGCACATAAAAAGGAATACTCACCAGACCAATTTGGCTCATGTTAATGGGTACACACATGGTGATGCCATTTCCTACTACAAGGATCACTGGGGAAGTAGAGTTGTTGATGATAATTAGTCAGATATGTATTCTGAATTCCTGGAGATCTACAATAATTTCAAAAGTTACAAGTGAATATGCATGGATGTAACTCAGAAAATAAGCCTGAGATAAAGATTTGGATGTCATTAGTATGCAAAAAGTAGAACTAAGGGCGTGGCCTACAGATCTATTCTGGCTCCAGCCTGTCTCTTGTAACATTTGCCTTATTTCCAATATCAAATTTTATGTCATTTGCCTGCACATATCACAAGGCATGAGTCTTTGGTGATGCTTATTATCTGCTAGATTCGCATACTTTCCTAAAATTCTTAGTTTCCTTGAATCCTCAGATCCGATGTTAACTTCCACAGATTTTATTTCTCCTCTATGCTCCCCTAACTCCCTGTGCTTACTTCCATGGCTATTCTTGCTACGTTGTTCTTTATTTGCTTTTGTTTGTTTCTCTCCATTGATTTCTGTTTTCTAGTTCAACTTTTCTCATAAATAGATTGTTTCTTTAGAACAAGCACTTTTATTAATGCCGTATCTGTAATGCGTAGCTCCTAAGTGTGAAATAGTTTTTGAATTAAAAAAAAAGTTCAGGCACGGTGGCTCACACCTGTAATCCTAGCACTTTTAGGAGGTTGAGGCAAGAGGATTGCTTAAGGCCAGGAGTTCAAGACCAGCATGGGCAACATAGTGAGAACGCGTCTCAAAATGAAATGAAATGAAATTCAAATGAAATAAAATTAGCAGATGTGGTGTGTGACTGTAATCTCAGCTACTTGGGAGGCTGAGGGGGAAGGATCGCCTGAGCCCATAGGTCGAGGCTGCAATGAGCCGTGATCATGCCACTGCACTCCAACCTGGGTGACAAGAGCCCTCATCACATAAACAAAAACAAAAAAGAACACAATTTGATAAAGGAGAAAAAAGAGAATATCTGTGCTTGGATTTCTTGAGACAACCAAACTGATAAGTGACATAAACTTTCCAATTCTTTTTAAGACTCAGGATAAAAGGATCTTGATGTGCTTGCATAGAAATATAGACATAAAGACCTTTGACTTCACTATTCTCAAAATGGCCTTTGGTTTTTCTGAACAGATCCTATTTTTTTTCAACTTTATATGTTCACCCATTAATGCTCTTTGAATTTATCGCATCCAGAATCATTATCGTCACAAGCCTGGACTATTAAACTTGCTCCAGAGTACTAAGCAAGTATTTACCTCACTAATCATAACAATGCCTAGGAGGTTGTAACAGAAGAAACCGGGTACAAAAGTTACCTACAAGTATCATACAGAATTGAACAGGAAAATATCACAACACATCTTATACAACGAAGTTAACTTTTATTTTATAAAATTTTATTTCAGTAATACAGACACAAGCATTCTTACTGGCTCATTCGAGAACGTATACATGTACTTAAAAGACTTAAGGCCAGTTTTCTCTTTTATTTCTAACTCCTGTACATGCAAAACTTTCAAAAAACGTACAACCAATGTATACATTGATAAATATGTACAACTGTTTTTTTTTTTTTTTAAAAGACCTCATCAGGTGTCCTTTTTTGGAAGCCAGGAAATAGGGCTGACTCTGCGCTCAGATTACAGCCTGAGACAAAGGATAAAGCCACGTACTAACGTCAAGAATTCAAAGTATACTTCCCATTTTAGTAAGCATACTAAAAATCTCATAGCTTTAAAAAAAATGATAGTTGTATTCTTTGCCCCTCCCACAAGATAGCTAAGACTTCACAATAAATGTAACCACCTAAAGTTAATTTCCAGATACGACCCTAGTTAACCATCTCGACATTTCAAGTCAGCTGCAAGTTCAATAACCACTTAAGAGATTGTAGAGCACTTAGGGGAATAAATGTCATAGTTGTGTTAGCAAAGGACCTCTGCAGATACATAAAAGGGATCAAGAACATCTTTACCTCTAGCAGTATAAGCACACAGGAGGGATGAAGCCTAACTCAATATCGTGGAAATGTCAATCAACTGAAAACGCATTTAAGTCGTGTCACCTTTTTATGATTAGAGAAGTGGCTCTGAAAAGAGCCTTTGTTCTTAGGCGCTTCCAAGCCTGGTCCTTACTTTGCCTTATGGTGACTCTCAGTTTTCTTGGGCAACAGAACTGCCTGGATGTTGGGCAGGACGCCGCCCTGCGCGATGGTGACTTTGCCCAGCAGCTTGTTGAGCTCCTCGTCGTTGCGGATGGCCAGCTGCAGGTGGCGCGGGATGATGCGCGTCTTCTTGTTGTCGCGGGCCGCGTTGCCCGCCAGCTCCAGGATCTCGGCGGTCAGGTACTCCAGCACCGCCGCCAGGTACACCGGCGCGCCGGCCCCGACGCGCTCGGCATAGTTGCCCTTGCGGAGCAGGCGGTGCACACGGCCCACGGGGAACTGGAGGCCGGCCCGGGAAGAGCGAGTCTTAGCTTTAGCGCGAGCTTTGCCTCCCTGCTTGCCACGTCCTGACATCTCAAAAAGCTTGTAGCTACGGTCTGCAAGGTATAAAACTAAAGCGGAAAAAAATGCAAAACTTATAGCCTCTGCTGGGCGCGAAAAGAAAGCAGCGCAATTGGCTGATATTTAATTTTTAATTAGACCAATGGAAAGCGAGTATATAGAGGACATATTTTTCATTGGGCAAAAGTGATGTATGACGTCATTTACCGAGTCACCAATCGCCGGGAGCCATTACTACCCCTAATTTGCATAATCGTGTGTATATGAGGAGGACAAGAGAGTCGTGTAATTGCTGTTGAGTTTCGGCTTGTCTTTCCTCTTTGCACCATGCCTGAGCCAGTGAAATCAGCTCCAGCTCCTAAAAAGGGATCCAAGAAGGCTATCAATAAGGCGCAGAAGAAGGACGGCAAGAAGCGTAAACGCAGTCGAAAGGAGAGCTACTCTGTGTACGTCTACAAGGTGCTGAAGCAGGTCCACCCCGACACCGGTATCTCGTCTAAAGCTATGGGCATCATGAACTCTTTCGTCAACGACATTTTCGAGCGCATCGCGGGCGAGGCGTCGCGCTTGGCACATTACAACAAGCGCTCGACCATCACCTCCAGGGAAATCCAGACGGCTGTACGCCTGTTGCTTCCTGGGGAGCTGGCCAAGCACGCCGTGTCAGAGGGCACCAAAGCCGTCACCAAATATACCAGCTCTAAGTGAGCTAGTTTTCGGCCCACACTCCAAAGGCTCTTTTCAGAGCCGTCCACATTTTTAAAAAAAGAGCTAACTCACAGCTAAATACTAAGTATCTATTTGGTGCTATTTAGAAGTTACTTTGCATAACCTCTTGGTGTTTTTACGTTGCAGTTTTCTATTAGGTTTTGTATGGTTCTAAAGAATCAACAATGCAAGGACTGGCTTATGATTGGGCTAAAACTTAAAATTGGCCGTGCTCGGTGGCTCAGCCTGTAATCCCAGCGTTATAAGAGGCCGAGGCGAGTGAGTTATCTGAGCCCTCGGGTCCGAAACAAGCCCGGCAACTTGGCGAGACCTTGTCGATTAAAGAAAAAATTAGCCTGGCGTAGTTGCTCCTGCCTGTGGTTCCGGCTACTTGGAAGGCTGAGGCGGAAGGATCGCGGGCGCCCAGCAGGTCAACGCTGAGTTGGCCGTGAGCGTGCCACTGCACTCCAGCCTGGGCAGCAGAGTGACGCTCCCAACTCAAAAATAAAAAATAAAATTCCACGGCGTACTGGAAGTAGTTACAATGTCACGATGTTTCTGTGGGGTTCTCGAAATTTCAGCTCATCTTTCGGCGGCCACATGCTATTTACTAATTCAAGTAAGTATGCAGAGCTGGGTCTAGAAGTAAATAACCAGTTGGTGAGCTTGAACATGTCCTGAATGTGTATTCCCACACCTTGCATCTCCTAGAACCTAAAACTTAATAGTCGGCCGGTAAGGTAGCCTTTAAGATAGTAGTGCTGATGGAAGGCTTGGTGATTTGGAATCATGAGGCAACATTAATTAGCTTAGGCTCCGTTTTTAGTTTCTCACCTTTGTTGCCCTTCCTTGCGATTAATCCCATATATTGGTGGCCGCTCATTCATATGTGTGTAAAACTACAAGCATAGTGTTAAGATGGTTAAACAGCTTTTAGTGGTAAGTGTAATAAGTATACTTTGGAAAATAAACCTAAGTGCTTTTTCTGTACTTCATTTGAGTGAAGACTTGGAAAACAATAATTTTCACCTCTTCAGTTTCATTTGGCATATCTCCAGGAAAACAATGTATGCCTTTTCCCTGTTGGCAGGAAGATCTGGTGCTTTTGATGATAGCGGAAGCCAAAACTAAAGACATGTGTGGTTTGGGGATTGTGCTGGACCACAAATCTGGAAGAATACAGGGAAGAAGTACTGTTATATCTTTGCTCAAAAAGTGAGGAATTAGAAAATGTGGGTGACAGGAAAAAAAGTACAAGTGTGATCAGTGTATTTGCTCTTAAATCTTGAGATTTTCTTGTTCAATACACCCGTCCTTCACTCATTCATATTTATCCTGCCAACTAGTCTTGAGTAACTTATATGTCTAAGGAAAGTTAAAGGAAACAAATGAAGACTGACTAAATGGAAGGAAGCAAAATTAATTAAAGGAAACAAGTGAATACTAACTAAATGGCAGGGAGAAAAATGGAGCCTGCCTAACTAGTGAAGAGTCTATGCAGTGGGGGAGGGGGAGGTGCGCTAGGCCTGGGAGTCTGAGTAGAGTTTTCTGGAAAAGTCCTTTAGAGATGCTGGAGACTAGAATGATTAAATATAAATGTAAGGTGAGCGAGAGAAAGTTTCAAGATCCTCGGGGGTCTGTATCCCTTGAAAAGAAATATAATGTTTATCTATAAAGGAAAGGCAGAGTATGCAGAATTTTAAAATCGTGTAAAATCTGTGAATCAGATTCATTATTCTGGTGGCTCAGTTGAGAGTAGATTGGAAAGAAGTATGATCCGAGCGGGGTCAAGGGGGTTGGAAATGCCAGTCAGCACTGAGGGCCAGAACTAAGGTGGAGGCAGCAGTCAGAAAGAGAAAGAGGAGAAAAGAAAGGACGAACTTAAGGAAAAAAGAAGGCAGAAAGAAAAAAGCTTGCTGCATACTGACTTGCATGGGTAGGTGAAAGAGAGGACAAAACCAGAATTGTGTCCGAGTTTCAGTTTCTGCAACTACTCAGGAAAGGCGTTTCAGAAGGTGGGCTTGGGAGGAAAGGGGATTTTCCCTATTCTTTCAGTCAACAAATATTTGTTGCTCTTCTTTAGCGGGAAGACAGAGAGATCATGACACCCGAGACTATTATAGGAAGTGGCACTTTATTACGCCAGCTGGCTCAGAGGGCTTGATGGGCTAATGTTTCCAGGTCAAGCCTTGCAGAATGGAAGAAGAGGAGGGGTCTTATACCTTTGTTTAGGTAAGGGAGGGAGTCGTGTTGAGCGATTACACATTCTCTTTGGAATTTACAAGGTGGTGTTCAGAAAAATCAGATCTTTCAAAGAACAAATGGTCTCCAGGAACTGCAGGGCAGCAGGGTCTGCAAGCAGGGTTGTAAACCGTCAACGTCAAATGAGAGGTTTTGGATAAGTCTGTGAATTAGTTACTCTTTTGCATTTCCATGAAAGCCACCAGTCCTTGGCTATTTGACTTTTTTAAACAAAACCGGCCTGGTGGGTTTTTAAAATTTGCAACTTCACTTTCAAAAGGAAATACCTTTAACTGCTACCAGCCCCCCTTTCTGCCACAGGGTTATTGGGAGACAATTTGTCATCCCAGGTGATTGCCATGGAGCCAACTGCTGACCCCGAAGCCGTTACTCATGTGTTTCTGCTTTCATTCACTCAATCACAGAAGAAATATACATTTGAGCATTTGCCACATTCTGCTATACATCTACTAATGAGTGAGGCACTGTATGAAGACTTGTCAATATAGCAGTGATTTAAAAAATTAGGCCTCATGAAACTGCCAATATTTGACTGTTTTTAGCCTAGAGAAATGATGGTTTCATGTATGAATACAGTACCTGACTTCACAGTGAGAATCACATGTTAGTAGAGGAGATAAAAGAGGATGAGGATCCAGTCCAAGGTCTCAGGCTTCAAAAGCATGGACTTTTTGGCTGCCCTACCTGGTTTATAGAAGAATGGGGTAAATGCTGAAATATATATTTCTTGTGTAATTGCGTGAATGAATGTAGAAACACAGGAGTGGCTGCTTCGGGGTCAGCAGTTGGCCCCATGGCAATCATCTGGGATGACAAATTTGTCTCCCACTAACCCTGTGGCAGAAAGGGGGGCTGGTAGCAGTTAAAGATATTTCCTTTTGAAAGTCCATCTGCAAGCTTTAAAGACCTGCCAGGCTGGTTTTGCTTAAAACCAAGTAGTCAAGGACTGGCGGCTTTCATGGAAATGCAAAAAGAGTAACTAATTCACAGACTTATCCAAAACCCCTCTTTTGAAGTTGACGATTTACAACCCTGCTTGCAGACCCTGCTGCCCTGCTGTTCCTGGACATCATTTGTTTTTTAAAAGATCTGATTTTTCTGAACACTACCTTGTAAATTCCAAAGAGAATGTGCAGTCGCTCAACATGACCCCCTCCCTTACCTAAACGAAGGTATAAGACCCCTCCTCTTCTTCCATTCTGCGGGGCTCAACCTGAAAGCATGAGCCTGCCGAGCTGGCCGGCGTAATAAAGTGCCACTTCCTATAATAGTCTCAGTGTCACGATCTCTCTGTCTTCCAGCTACAGGTTGGTAGAGCAATTTGTGTAGGAGACTATTACTTTCTAGTGGCAATAACAAAACTAATGAACATTTATTGAAGGCTTATTAAGTGATAGGTTATATTAAAATTATTTTACTTGTGTTACTTCATTTAATTGTCTAAACCATCTTATGAGGTAGGTTCTATTATTATTCCTAATTTATAGATAAGGAAGTAGAAGGTCAGCGAGTTTTATGAAGATGTAAACTCAATGGCAGCTTGAAGTGGAAAAAAGGTAGAAGCTCAGGGAGCCCAGACAGGGGACAATTAAGAAGCAAAATGGAAGTGGGCCACATTCCTAGAGTCTCTCATTTAGAACTTCTTAAACATGAAATCCTAAACTAACCTGCCCCGTGAGTGGAAGAATAATACTATATATAGAATGCTATAGGGGCCGAGGGAAAAAGTTTTCCATTGTCCTATGGCAAAAGGTAGAATAACAGGAGAAAAGATGAAAATTTATTTGATCATAGCATATTTTGGGTTGGTATTTCCTAGACTCCTTCAATATGCATTGTAGGGGCAAGGAAGACTTCCCTTTTGCCCTCTGAAGATTTGCTGGAAATCACTGAAAAAGGCAGATAAATAGAAGAAAAGGGCATACAATTTATTTGATTACAGTTTTACATGACATGGCACCCTTTAGAATGAAAACCCAAAGATATAGGAGAAACAGTCTATGTTTATGCTTAGATTCAATAAAGTATAGACAGCTGTGAAGACATATGATTGGTCAAAATGGATATAATCTAATGCTAATAGACTGAGCAAAGAAACCCAGCAAGGTTTGTCTATCTAGATTTTTCTTGGCTTCTCTTATAGCAGAATGGGGCAAATGCTGAAATATATTTCTTGTATAATTGAGTGAATGAATGCAGAAACACATGAGTAACTGCTTCGGGGTCAGCAGTTGGCCCCATGGCAATCACCTGGAATGACAAATTGTCTCTCTCCCATTCACCCTGTGGCAGAAAGCAGGGGTTGGTAGCAGTTAAAGGTATTTCCTTTTGAAAGCCAAGCAGCGAGCTTTAAAGACCCACCAGGTGCCAGACCGGTTTTGTTTAAGAAAAGCCAAATGACCAGAGACTGGCTATTTCATGGAAGTGCAAAGAGTAACTAATTCACAGACTTATCCAAAACCCCTCTTTTGAAGTTAACAGTTTACAATCCTACACTTTGCATTTCCTGGAAACCATTTGTTCTTTAAAAAAATCTGATTTTGCTGAGTACAACCTTGTAAGATTACAAAGGAAATATGTAATCACTCAACACAACTCCCTCCCTTACCTAAACAAGGATATAAAACCCCACTTCTCCCGTTCTGTGGGGCTCGACTTGGATGCTTTAGCCCTTGAGCCCGCCGGCGTAATAAAGCTGCCACTTCCTATAACGAACTCTATTTTCCTGCAGTACTCTGAGCCTGCATTACTTCTGAGTATGGAGCAGGGACCCCTTTGGAATGGGATCTTATGACCTACAATAAAAAAGGTAGGTCAGATAATTTCTCTTTGACTAATTTTTACACAGAGAGGCTGGGGGCGGGCAGTTAGAGTAATATTTTTAGGTTTTATGGAGTCCTACCCTTTCATTACTCAGGCCTCTTCAGAAAAGATTAACAATCACGTTAATATTTGGAGGGGGCAATGCATTTCTTCATTTCCTCTATGATAGGTTTATTTTCTCATTAGTTTTTGGCATTGTTGGGACTCAAAAAACGATGAGGAAATTAACACAAAAACAGCAAAAGTGACTGCACTGAAGCCACAATTTTAATCCAGGCTTGTCAGATTGCAGAGACGAGCTCTTAACTCCTCTTCAAAGTAAATATCTACAAGAAACACTGAAAAACCAGAAATTACATTTAAAATTGTATCAGAATTTATTATAATTTATTTAGAGTTAAGAGAATTTAACAGTATATATTCATGCATGTAAAAAATACTAAATATATGGAAAGATACTTTCAATATATAGATATTATGAAGTTAATAGGGTGACCTTTAGACTATGTTTGATAGTCATTTTTCAGTTTGCCTAGTCCGAATTTTCTAAATTTTTAGCCATGTACATGAATAGCTTTGTAATTTTTCTGATACCAACGGATGCCCTGCAATTTAATTCTGATACTATCTACCTGGAGTTAGACCTCACAAATTAAAAGGCACATTTTCTAACAAGACTGACCTCCACTTCAGGTACCAGCTGTAAGCGGGATTCCCAGGCCACTTGCCTATCTGACTCACAGAATGTAGGAAAGTACTATACTTACTATTACAGTTTTATCCTAAAAGATACAAATCAGGACTAGTCAAATGAAATACATAGTGTGAAGCCTGGAACAGTCCTTAAAGCAAAGCATCTGGGCCCTTTCCCTATGGAATCAGGAGCCTTCCTTGCACATCTATGTGTTGTTCACCATCCAATAAACTCACTGACCATGGTGTTCACAGTTTCTATGGAGGTTTCATTATATAGGTATGATCGACTGAATAATTGACCATATGATTAAACTCAATCCCCAGACTACTTGAAGGTTGTTCTTGCTCAGAGTCCTTCATTCTTTAATCATGTGGTTGGTATTTCATGTGGTGACCAGTTCCATCTTGAGTTACCTAATTTCTTTCTTTTTTTTTTTTTTGAGTTGGAGTCTCACTCAGTAGCCCAGACCTGCTGGGCTCGACCTGCTAGGCTCTGGCGATCCTTCTGCCTCAGCCTTCCAAGTAGCTGGAACTACAGGCGTGCGCTACCACGCCCGGCTGATTTTTTG